CTGGAACTTCCTGTGCTGAACATGTTAAAGATCCGTCACTAGGCCCCTGCCAGTGCACTGTTAATTTCACCTTAGATGCCGAATTACAGGTGAAATTTGCTCACTGCTCTTGCTTGCTACTGGTTTTCCATGTTTTGTTTCTGAATACTGTTTGCAATGATAATATAGCATCTATATGTGTCAAAGCTTGATCGTCTTTTTCAATGCTTTTTGAAGGGTCCATTGTACGTCTTCTATGGACTAACGAACTTCTTCCAAAACCATCGTCGGTACGTAATGTCTCGTGATGACGAGCAACTCAACGGCAAGCCCATTAGTGTTCCTAGCTTGGACTGTGAACCGTATCGTTACAACGTGGAGGACGGCGTCAAAAAAATTATCGCTCCATGCGGAGCGATAGCCAACAGCCTATTTAATGGTGAGGTCATTTAAGGGCCAACCTTCCATGTCATTCTTGCCCTAAAAATTTTTGCAGTTCCTAGTCAAGCTCATTTCTCTTTTGTCGGAGTTAATTGTATTTTGTTGATATGCGTTTGTTGTGCGCGGCACACGATAGTTGAATATTTGTTCATACTGCCTCTTAGATACGTTTGCTTTAAGGCTGGTGCGGTACAAAGACGGAACTTCTGGTCCTATTCCTGTCGAGTTTTCAATGGATAAAATAGCTTGGAAGTCGGACCGAGATGTGAAATTTGGGCAGCCCTCTTCGTGGAACGGCACAACTAAGCCAATAAACTGGCCCAAACCCGTACAAGAGATGAATCCACACTCTTACTCCGGCTACTCCCAGTTGCTTGTTTGGATGAGGACAGCTGCGCTTCCAAACTTTCGTAAAAATTACGCTGATATTGTTCAGAAGGGCGAATTTGCCAATGGCCTTCCAGCTGGATATTACGAAGTAGATATCGAATATTGTAAGTGACGGATCATCTGTTTATTCTGTTGCGGTTGTAATTTGTTCGTGCAATTTGTTCGTTACAATGAATATTCCATTTCATTTTCACCGTTTTGATAAATTTTTTGACTATTGCTTTAGCTTAAATATAAGGCTACATATCGAACCATATTTTGAGAGAAACAAACTTCTACTTCTAGTTTGTTGCCCATTTGTTTCACTGTCTTTAAACTCTTGCATTACTATTCCGCTAAAACTGCTCTTCGCAAATGGTTGTTTTTTAGCTTATCCGGTAACTCAGTTTAGTGGAACCAAACGATTTATTATATCACAGGCCAGTTGGCTAGGTGGACGTAACCCGACATTGGGCATTGCTTATATTGTCGTTGGTTGCATACATGCCGTCCTCGCGGTAATCTTCACCGGCATCCACTTCCACTTGCGCAGAAGGTAAGTCTGCGCGTTAAATCCTTTGGAAATTAAATCTAATCGAAGTATGTTGCGGATTTGTTTACTTCCACCCCCGTTGACTTTGTTCATCTGCAAATGTTGAAAACTCGTATCCGTCACTACGAAACCTCGTCGCCTTGAATTTTTTGAATTCCATAAATAATAATCATTAATGATACTACCATTACAAATATGCATAAATGCCCAGAGTTCTGCGTCCAAGCCCTCAGCCAGCGCCTGAAACTGTTAGATTTATTGCCAATACCGTATGAGGTGAATCTGAATCACTTTTCTTTTCATTAAAGGCGACGAGATCGACTCTGAGCAAACCTTTTGATCGTGGCTGTGACATACCCTACCGACCGCCCTGAAAGGTTTATTGCCATTGAATTTCCACTTTTATTAATAATCTCCACTTGAAATACTAGCATTCTGCTGCGTCCAACCCCCACTTGCGGCATTACCTGCTGTCTCATTTTTTTCATATACGGTAATAAAACCTTCCTCAAGGAAAGTCAATTGTTTAAATTTCGGGCGCACGCGCAAAATGGCGCCTCAGCTAATCGTGCTTTGGGATTATTACCAGCGCGCAGCCACAGACCTGGATCAGTGATCGAAGACGTCGCCAGCGCTTGGAGCCCTAAAAGCGCCACAGGCGAGGTACTACTTTCGCAACAGAATCTGGCATTGCCCAATTCCAAAAATGTCAATCGAAGGATCTGTGCCGCTCGGCAATGGCTGAAAACTCACTGTTATTACACGCTATGCTGTGCCCTCTAGCCAATTTTATGAATCTGAAGTGCAAGGTTCCCTTCGCACCATAGTGGCATGAATCACAGAACAACTTGTTCAATAAGGGTGCTCCTTGTCCACGCTGTGAAACCACTAAAGTAATCGAATGACACCCACAGTTCAATAACTTCATTATGATAAGGCTCAGCAGTTAGTGGTGAGGGATGTGACCACCGATGGTGTGGTAATTGTATGTACATGCGACACAGCTGCGCAGAAAGCAACGAGACGGAGTGGTTGACATTAAAGATCGAGTTTGCGCATTTGAAATTCCTCGTCGGAGTAAAGACGAGCGGCGACTTGGTGGCCATCGAAGAAGCGCCCGTTAAGCGCTTGCACGGCATTAACAGCAGCGCCGTGGCTGTCGAAGTTCACAAAGATGCGCACAGTTGAGCTGTCAGACATCAAGTGTACAAGGACGCGCAGAACCTCGCCGAAATTTCTGCATTCCTCCGCAACCTCCTCCTCCAGGTAGGCGTCCACTTCCGCTGCTGACACCATGTTCTCCAGCAACACCACTCTACCATGAAGTCAAAAGTGTTAATCAGGACACACGTATGATATCCTGAAGATAACCGGAATGCCGATTTAGATGTAAGAAAAAAAGCATGCATCGAGTGATTGAGTCTAAAAAACTATGTACTTGAAATGACGCATAAACCTAGTTCATGCATGGAATTTTTTAAATTGCCTGGAAAGATCATCTGAGGGGACAGGTGATACAGCGGAGGGAGAGTAAGCATCCTGAATGCCCTCTCTGTCGGTGTCGTGTGAGTGCATTGTTACGACATCATCTTCGTCCCAACGGGCGCCAGCCGTGGCTGACTGGGTTTCAGGCGCTTTGAAACAAAATTTAATCGGATAAGTAAGAACGTATCTCAAGCAATTCTCCCAGGATGTGGAGACTTCATGAAGAAAATCGAACTAAATACCGTGCCTTTGGTGCAGTAGCACATCGCCATTAAAACCAAAGTCAAGAAGAGACAAAATTAGGCGTCCCAGCGTATTCAATCGAAAAAATTTTCATAGTCGAAATGTGCACAGATAATGATGTGTAACACATTCAAACCCATGGCCACAAATGATTATGAGTAAATAAAACACCTTCAAGATAGTCTGAATTGTTAGCAACACAAACAACCAAAAAGTGAGGCGTAATGCCTACCAGGCACAGCTGAGGGTGGTGGGGGTGCCGTTGAAAGAGGAGCGGGAGCAGGAGTCAATGAGGGCACGAAGACTCCTGGAGGGGGTACATGCTCTCCGGAGCCCCAACCCGAAGAGAAGCCAGAGGAGGCTGGCGTTGCAGTTGATGTCACCACCGCCGGAGCCGACTATTATATATGAAATTAACAATGGCGACTCGATACTGTATTGCAGTAACGTCGATTCAGCAAAGTCACACAGTAAGAATGAGTTGGGAAAATACAAAGAACTGACAAGCGCATCGATGTACTGATAAAAATAATGAACGAATTGTCAAATGTTTTCAACCGCAGAATTTGTTAGTAATTTTTAATGCATAGCTCTAGTGTTTTTATAATCCGTGATCTCTTAATTACTGAATACGCAGTGGAATCAAAGAGAATTAGTGTCCCTTTTATCGTGCCGGAGTCACATGGCGCGTACTACTGCTTACATTGCATGCTCCATTCAAAAACGACTTATTTGGCTAGGGGTGAAAAATAAAAAAATAGGTCCATATAACTGAAATGTTAAAAAGCGGACAAACTTATGGCAGCGGAATGAGGTAAACAAACCCATGAACATAAGAACACTTAAGAATGGAACAAGTGTGGTTATGAATGCAAACGGCTTTAAATTCCGTCGTATTGGGGGTTTACGAAAAGTTTAGTTGCTTTAAGGAGGTTAACATACGTGCAGGTCAATGGGAACTCTGATAACAGTCAATTAATGCCAGTTTCCAAAATTGAAGTAGAAGCTAAAGGCAACATTAACGTAATGACACCACATCAGACGAACAAGTACCAACCTCTAAAAAAACACTAAAAAGGCGGAAAGTTTTAAATCATAGTTTCATGCAAAGAGGCGAAAACGCGAAATCTACTAAGAAATCAGCAGCGGGAGTAGCCAAAATTAAAAAGCATCTAAAAATGAGCTCCATACTATAAAATGAATATATGTGAGCGACGAAAGTAAGAATACTGTTTTCGTTGACCTGCATAACCAAAACATTGTCGAGTTCAAACAAATGCGATTCCTGTCAAGAGAATAGGAACACTTACGGAAACAGAGGCATTTTCATTCTCAAGGGCTGAGACACGTGCCGAGATTGAAGCCGCTGCTGCCGCTACAGCAGCGGATGGAGCTATTCCAGGAGATGTGACATTCTTTGGCGTAATAGCGCGACCAACGCGTAGTAGAGTATGCGCTATTTCAAACCCATTCATATTAGTCACAGCAGCGATTGCCGCCTCCTCCGTTTCAAACTCGATCCAGCCATACCCCTTATGATTTATTTCAGGCTGACCAAATTTTACGTCCGGTTCCAAACTATTAAAAAAATCCAGGTAAGACAGTCAGTTATAAAAGGCAAAAGGCATAATACGAACAGTTGGTGCTCTACAACGAGTCATATTAAGAAAAGATTCCAGGTACGCACATGCAAGATTTGACTGTGCCGAAAGCCTCAAACACGGTCTGAATATCCGCTTCGGACAATTTCGGATGAACGCCAGCGACATATATTCGACATTTATTTGACGGATCCTGACGAAGCTCTGCCTCCAAGGTAGCTGTTTGAGGGGCATTACTGGGTCGACCAACCTCAACACAGTCCAGAATTATGAGGCAGGCACTCCAAAATGAATCAACTTGACAAACCCTAGAAAAATTACCTTGATTCCTCGCCCAGCAATCATAAAGCCATTCATCTGTTCGAGAACAAGTGAAGCCGCTTCAGGAACTTCGAATTCCACAAAAGCAAAACCCTTATGCTTTTGTAAGGCGCTATCCCAACTTAATGAAATAGACTTAATAGGTCCATATGGTGAAAACGCCTTGCGAATTTCTTCTTCTCCAATTTCAAAACTTATAGATCCAACGTAAATGCGGCTAAGAAGGACAAGAGCTTGTGTTTGTTTTATATTATTAATATCCTGAACAGCTAGAACGAAAGCAAAAGATAAACCTGAGATTGCAATTGAGACATCTGTTTGCGTACAGCATTTTGGATGCTCTGCTCCAAAGCATACTTCTTTGCCCTCTCCACGGCAAATTTCTGCTCGTCGGATAACGTGATCAACGTGAACGGAGCAACTTCTTTTATATCCTTCCCAAATACAATGGGCTCACGCGTCTCCGAAGTCCCATTTGATGTCACGGATTTTCGATATGCATTTATGTAGGCTAAATCATCAACGTTGAACATTTCTAAATAAAAATCAAGGTAGCCCCCAGTAAGAATTCACGGGCGAAAAGGCCGTCAGATATAGCAAGGACGTAGGAACCAATCGTTGACGAGATCTCAGTGTTTTAAAATGCAAGTAACGCAATCGTAGACAAGGACCGCTGGTAATAAATACAAAGAAACATGCTCCCATATTCCTTAAGCTGTATAGAAATGGACAATAATATGCTTGTGCGGACTTGCACAAATGCTTTTGTTTGTGCTCATATCAAGGCTTGTAAAAAATTCTGTCTCAATGAAGCCAATAGTTTACGGTTCCTTCATTAGTGCCCGTCGAATTATCTTGCTGTTCTTCCCTAAAGTCTGAAGCTTTACTGGTAGGGGTCACAATTGGCAGAGGCGTCACTACGTAAATCACAGTAGTAATATTTTACTACTTGAAATTGCAGGATCTTTTCAAATTTAATTGGTTTTAGGTAGACGAAATGCAAGATTCTTTCCTCATTTTCTATGCGACTTTGCACACAATTATAACTTAGTAAGGAAAGGAGATCACGTGAGCCGCAGATTCAGCCATTGCGCAAACGCTGCACAATGCATGTACTTATGGCAAGCGAATTCAAATAAGCGTTACGCTGCAATTGTCAGCCGGTTGACCCCCGACGTGTCAACTACAACGACCAACACCCCGACTTTGGCATCGACGACGCACCTCAAACTGCTCACAGGTTGTCCTAGCCAGTTGCTTCAACTCACTGCTATTCGAACCCCTGTATAAATACTAACACCCAGCAGACACCTCCCCATCGCATCTAAGCACACACGGCGGTGTCGGACAACGATGTAGGACGACATTTTTAGCAAAACAACACTCCAAGCCGCATTCAGCCAATCCAAGTCGCATGAGAACCTTCTTGGGGGAAGGCAGATACAACGCCTCGGATTCAAAATGAATTGTGCGCCAGGCTAAACACAGGATGCGTAGAGGACAAGATAGAGGGAAAGACGCAACGCATAGAACATTCATTCATAAAATTCTGTAACATGCAGGTCGTTATCATGCTTTTGCTTTAGGTACTGCGCATAATACTTTGAATCTCTAAATGCGCTTATTAGCCTTCGAATTTGGGTAGAAGTCAGCTGATAAATGTTCCTTGAATCACGACACATCGCGTTGTAATCATTCCCATAGAGCTCCAGCATATACATGCAAAATATTCTATCGTCCTCAGAAATGAACTTCTCCGGTTTCTTCTTATTCTTACGAATGTTTTTTAATTCTATGCATTAAATAATAAAAAACTACCTCGTACAACTGTTGAGTCAGCAATCTCACGTCCCTCATCCAAACAACTCTAAAGAGATCCATATCAAAGAAATTAGTACAACCTTACGATCTCCTTCATTTGGATCAAATAGTAATCCAATTCTGCTAAAATTTTCCCTGATGGAAATTCGACTATCCCAAGATTTTTGAATTATTGGACTACAAATACAACATCACACCCATCAAAGTTACTTCCGTATAACTATGCGTCTTGGCCTTTTCCTGCGATTCTTCCGATAATCGTACACGTTCTTCTTCCCCATGTGAAAGATCAACAACAGAACTTTCGCACTGTCCAAACAAACCTTGTAAGTAAAAACAAGTACGACCTAGGAAAATATTAAATGCAATCTTTGTTGCACTGCCATCTAAAAAGGAACAAAGTATGAAAAGCACACATTATGGTAAAATTTTTTAAATAAATATATATTTTAAGGTTGTCTAAAAGACTATAGGAAAAATATTACGCAAAAAATAATAGCCACCCATGCACAAAATATGCAACAATTTATTTAGGTGGTCACCTGGTGTCCGGTGGTTACGTTAGTACTTGTCCTACCCTTTATCTCAGGTTTAATTTCTTCTCTCTCCATAATAAACCTCCATACAACCAAATATACTGCCGACTTATGCCAGTTGAAAAGATTCGGGAGGCCAAAAAACTTAGTCTTGTACTTAGAGAATCCTACGTCGAAAATGAATTTTCTGACGCATTCCTCTAATATTTTGTTTATGTGATTACATGGCGTTTGGCGACTACTTGCATTTTTCTGCCTTTGTACACGTGGGCTGGCCTTTGCGTGATTTCAGGTCCCGTATGTCTTGTCATCTTCAGAATACATGTATCCAACTGCACTTACTGACTTCTTATACCAGTCAGGGGGTCTCGGGTGCTCGACGCCGCAAGGAAGAGGTATTTGTGACCTTCGATGACATCGGACATCTCTGATTATTGCTGCGCATGTGTTACGTGTACCAACCTGAAGAATTCAACTCGCTCGGCGGTAGCCCCTCTGCAGCCGATACCCACGGGCTTTCCAGGACAGCGAGTGGGCATAGACATCATAGGTCCTCTTCCTACGATCCCGAGGGGAAACCGTTATATTCTGGTGATGGTAGACTACTTCACCTAGATCGCGGAAGCCGAGCCACTGCAGGCGCAAGATGCTGAGACAGTAATAACCACATTTTTCAATCATTGGATCTACCAACATGGCGTGCCTGATTCCGTACATAGCGATCAAAGGGCGAACTTTGAAAGTTGTCTCTTCAAGGAGCTGTGCAAAGCATTTGGAACCCTTAAGACGCGTACAACGCCGGGTCACCCTCAGGGCAATGGGCAAGTAGAGGGAACAAATCTCACTCTCGTCGATTTATTGAAGGTCTTTGCCAAAGAGGTGCAACCTGAGGATTGGGATCTACACCTAGGACGGGCCCTCCTTGCCTACCGAGCCTCTGCTCACACCTCGACTGGAGTCTCACGAACTGGAGCTGAATATATCTATTCTAGGAAGAAAAAAAGAGCTGAATCTGAGCTAGTCCCGAAGTCAATGCATACGTGACTTCCAGACGTCCGGTGGTCACACTGATAAATTATTGCATATCAAGTTAGGCTAAATGCATTTATCTTGTGTATACGTGGAGTATCTTCCTCTGAAGTGGTATGAAGACAAACCCACTCAAAGAATCAGCCTTTTAGGCAAATAAATAAGGCACAATGTTTTGTTTTTGTGAACGCATGACGTTAGACGATTGCTTTAGGGTTCGTCTAGCTCTTGTACGCGTGGGCTGACCTTCGGGCCATGCTAAGGCCTAGTTATTTTGGTCCCCTTGGCATACACGTATTTGACTCCACTTACTACTTCATCTATCCGGTGGGAAGTCTCGGAACGCTAGACTAGTCATCACAAATCCTAGTTTCGGAATTCATACTAGCGGTGGAGTGCCACAGCCTCTGGAAATGCTGGCTTTGGTAACCATGTTGTGTTTTAAGACTCCTTACTTGGAAACCTAATAAGGAACTAGACTGGCTTGATCCGAAGGTCAGCTCAGGTTTATAAGTGCACAAAGAATCTTAATTTGACCTATAGACACCAGATGGCTACCCAAACAAGGCACTAAAATGCGTAGTTCTAATATTACGATTTTTCATTCGGTTACGACTTTGCAGGAGGCTAGACATGAGTGCCTAACTACATAGTGTTCTTTTATTTTATATTTAATTAGTCTTTTGTAATGGCTTCGCTTGAAATGCTAGCCTCTGGGTACTACTGCGAGCCCATTTTCCTTCCTGCTTACTGGTTATTTGATATGCCACATTGCAGTAGCAGGGAAGTCCGATCGACATTTGTAAATAATATATTTTTTTGTGGATAAAAACACAACCATAGCGTAGCATAAAATGGGTACTTTGAGTAGAGGTGTGAAATCGCTAGGTGCGGCTGTGTGAATGACTATCACAAATTCTTTCTTGGGCACAAATGAAGTTAACATCTAAAATGGTAGTATGCCTGTCCCATACGGGAGCTAAATGTTCAATTCTTCGTAGTGCCTATATGGCTTCTGGTTGAGCAGAACTCAAGTCAAGATTGGACAACGTTGAACTGACGGCAAGTTTGCGGGCGAGAACAGATGCACTACCAGATTTGTGGAAGAATTTAAATGATTCTTCTCATTAAATCGCTCTAAAGTTGCATCAGGTTTGTTTAAGATTATTTAATAAGTTTTAGGGCGGCTTTCCTGGCGAGCGTCATCCAACCTTGAAATGAGCAAAACCGCTGAAGTTTGCAGATAGGATGGAATTGCAAATTGTTGTGGAACGGGATGCCTAATCTTCCCTGGAAAGCTTTGAGGGTAAACACTATCGTTCTAAGAGTATTCATTTATACATCGACCGCGTACTAGTGGGTTAGAAGAATGGAAGGACTGCTTCGTTTTTTTATGGTATTTCCTTCCATTATGTCTCATACTCGTCGATTCTGGGCAGCGGGCATAAGTTGTTTCAGAAGTCTCGAAGGACGGCGATGAGAATAAATTTTCTCTTCGCTCTAAAATGCAAAAGTCTGAGTCCGTAATATGTGATCTCTGCAGTGCCCTTTTATTGCCTTCACTGCCTAGGTAATTATTGTCCCGAGCTCTCGGAATGTTATTCGTACGCATGACTTTGAAATCATGACCAAATTTGTTGTTAACGTAGTTACATTGCTCTTCTCCACTGCTTTGCCGAAATATTTATGCATTGTACCAGTACATTTGAGGTCATTCAAGCGGATTACGAGTCATGTGAATGCAGAAACACAATTCACGAGCTTAGAGAGTAGCCCGCGCGTTGCGAACTTGGTATTACTATATTTGCATGCCATTGACCGCCACTCCATTGACTTCTTACAGAACTGTCAATTTATGTACCTGTACCTTGCAGTACCGCTGTTGGTCATGCTGTACGTAGTCTCGGGCTGGAATCTCATTTATAGACTATATCCCCAGTTGTGAAACACATTAGACTAGTGACGAATTGTCCCTGGTCGTTGCCCCGAAAGCTAACGACTTCCAACCTCCTCCATCGAATCCCATTCACGCAAAACAAACTAAAAACGCTGAAGGACTCATGCACGCCGCAAGACAACCCACTCACAGGATATTCTCCTCTAAGAGTCACTCCCACGCATTGTCCTGGCAGCAGGTAAACAAGACCCCATTTGGTAGTACCTTGCATCACTAGCAAGGTCCTTTAGCTGAAAACTTCAACCTTGCATTGCTTCGCTTAAATTGGTAATCGGTCTGTACTGAAAACGCCAAGGACAACCAATGACTACCCAAATTAAATAAATTTCTACTTTCAAAATGCTGGGAAACGATAAATCCATCAAATTACAACATCAGACAGTAGCTCCTGTTTCACTTCCATCCACATTTGCAGCCATATGTACTCTTAACTTTGAGTAGGAGGCATAAGTAGATAACATATCAAAACATAGAACAAGATAGACCCAAAAAACGAAGGAGCACAATGATAGAGAGGAAGATTAGGCTGACCTACTCATTAAGAATGTATCCACACAGAACAAGATATCTCAGAGAAAATGCATGAATACACATTCAAGAGGAACATTAGTGAGTGGAAACGAATAAGGATATGACGAAAAGAAGCTAAGAGGCTACCACATCCACCATGTCAGAAGATTATGGGAGAAAGAGGCATTTGATGGATATTGTGTACACAGGATGACAGATTCTAATAATCGTCGAGGTCAAAATCTTCGTCGAAGTCCAGATCACCACCAGCTAAATGTTGAAAGTCAACTTGGTAGCGAAGAATACCTGCGCAATAAAAGGTTCATTTTGAAAACCATCGATAAAAGAGCGGCTGCAGTGAAGGTAAAGGGCTGTGCTTGATTCTAACAAAAAATAAACCATCAAATTTACAGAATTACGATGACAACTGAACTTTCTCTATAAACGGTGTTATCTACCAAGGTAGACGCTTGAAAGCGAAGACACACCTCCAATACCACCAAATCCGCGAACAAACTGCGAGCCTTCTTGTGACTTGTCGGTAACTATCTCAAGGATAGCACCGAACGATCGATAGTTGAGAGCAAGCCAGTCAAGAAGAAGCTGACTTTCTTCAACCTCCATTTCAGTTTGTGTTTCTGGATCGATGAAGTGACTGCGGTCCCTCTCCTGTTCAGGTCTCAGATGGATAACACGCTTTTCTAAAAATGAACAGAGTACGACCATAGACAACAGGCTAACAAGAGCAAAGCTTAGAGTTGACGTTATTGTTCTTCGCTCCATGAGGCGAGTTAAAGAGGGGGAGGGGTGGAGGTAAACGCAGCTCTATAAAAATCGTAATTATCTGTGAACCAATGGTGAGGTCCTCAACGCCTAAGATTCAAATGATAAGCAGCAGACAAAGACCACTAATGCAGTCTAAATAGCCCGATTCTCAGAAAATCAAGGGGAATAAGCCCTGAGTAGAGCTGTTCTCAGGTGCATTTCAAAAACATAAAGGTATATCGGCTGCAAAAATGTAAAAAAAGAGCGCATCAGATGGCTAAGCAAATCTTGTTATCTATGGCAGAACAGAATTGATGCATAAAATAGGAAAACATACATGACCTTTCAAAGAATACCGGAAAATAGCCATTACCCTATCAAAAACATATGGGACATATTCTCACAAAAACAAGTTTAAATCGCAGTTTGGTTAATTTCATTTACCGTCACTTGATGAAGAACGAAGCACATAGCGAGTGACAGCCAGGTTCTCCCATACAATTAGAGAATCTACAGCGCCCATTTCAAGTGCCTTCAGGGTATCGTCCACGCCAAAACAATACTTCCCAGTATCCTGTAGAAGTCACCATACTAAATATTGCGAAATTTATTTACCTGCGATATTTCATCAAAGTAACGCTGGATCAATTTCTTCTCTTGAATAAATTTAACACCCGCCAAAGTATCACTGGCAAGTTCAATTGCTTGGTTAAAACCACTTTCACCCCCGTATGAAATATCAACTATCTTCAGGACTTTCGCTTGCAACCTCTAAATCAAAGTAATATAAATGAGAAAGGTCTTACAGGGTCGAACATCCCTGATTGGCTAAGATCCGTTTTGAAGTCGGCCAAACCAGCGAGAATAAGTCCCTCAACATTAACCTTATCATTCGTAATAAACAACTGCACCGCAGTCTCCGCGACTTTTCTCACGTAGTTGTGACGTTTTTCGACGCGCAACCGGGCAAAACGAAGTGCTGACTGGCCACCTCTTCCGTGTTTCTTCGGAAGCTCTACACTGAATTTGTGCAACACCTCTCTAGTGTTCCCTGACAGGGTGCCAAATAGAGTGCCGCTACCGTCCATAATAATAAAACCAAATTTACTGTCATCAGTTAACAACGCATTCAAGGCCTAGTTAATAAAAATGGCAAGAAATGTGCCTCACTTCTGTATGAAACTTGTTATCGCACAGATAAAGAGAGGTATTTACTGGTCGAAAAGGCTCAAAGTCAATGTTCACCTTCTTTTCCTTTCCATCCTCCGTAATGATAGTGCCGCAATATACAACAAGTCCATTTGGTGGTACTACATCGGTAAAGAACGTTAATATTTACCCTTGTTGTACAACTTTAGACGCTGTTGGACAGAAGTGATAGCGCTCAACACTGAAAGACGATTCACCCGACTTTTAATGTTTGAAGCAGTGCCATATTCTTCAGCCAACATTTTCGCCACGCGAGTAACCTGATCCTTGGGCGGAATGATTAGGGATATCATGCTTGTGCCATTGCTATCCAAACGTCAAAAAAGGAACAAAATTATACCCTCGTGCGGCCTCAAGACTTTTGATAAGTTTCTTTATTCTCCACATTTCAACATTCTTATCTGCTTGAGTCGCCATAGTTTCACCGTTACTTGAGGCCATTGCCCTTAAACATCAAGCACAGCGAGGACCACGATGCCCGTTTTAAGCGTGCCGCCACAGACTAGCTGAGTTGTTGATTAAATCTAAGTACCACTAGCTTTAAATGCAACTATGTTTAAAATAATTGCAAAATGGAAAATTTCTTTAATAACGCTAGAAGACTGTCACGAAATCTTAGGCTAAAAATGTGCAATCCATAATACTTCACTGCACACCTTACATCCAAAGACAGCTACATGCATCCAAAAGCGCCAGCCCCGCACCCTACCCCGGTACAGCAGACCCGAACCCGCATAAGAACACCACGACCCGCCGCGCGCCCCTACACGCTGCCGAAGGAAAACCCAAACCCCGAACACGCAAAGACACAACCGAAAGCGATGTCACGGGACGGCAGCCACCAGAGAAATTGCATTATATGTATAAAGATAATCAGAAAGAAACGCGATCGACTCCGAGTGTCGAGTCGATAACAGAAGTCTGATGTCTTCGAGCTCTGTTTAATAAATGAGCGAAGACAATCAGCAAAGAAGGAAAAAATCACGCTCGTATCAGACACTTTCCATCCGATCAAGCACACGAACACCTTGCTCCTTCCATTCTGCTCTAGTAATCCAGTAGTTGGCCGATCCTCCCTGCATTAAACGAGCCAAAATTGAACCACCAAGGAAAACCATGTGTTTGCGTTGCGGTGGATCCTCAATCCGAATTTTTAGTTTCTAAAACAATAATGAACGTCAAATTAATATGAAAATTCAACAAATGTGCTCAGTTTTCAAGCCTAATTCTCCTCTTTGTAAGGCTCAAGATCATTAACAAGTGATTCGAGTAAATATACATAATGGCAAACTACTTGTCATAAAGTCCAAAAATACCTAATAGAGAGCCGGAGGGGAAAGTGCAAGTGGTTGCTGTTTCATTCAACTTCAAATTGCAAATAGCGCCGCGCGTTAAAACACCAACTCAGCTAGCAATTGCAACAACGGAAAAGCACACAATTTGAAACTCACAGAAAGACCAGTAGCATCACCCTTCAGAACATTTTGAACGCAAAGCTGTTTAAGCTCCCGTTCAAGGCGACTAGGCAATCCAGGATACATGGTACTGCCGCCACTGAGAACAATATATTTATAAAAATCGGATCTCGTATCGATCGGTGCCGCCTGAATTGTATTGAAAAGCATTTCAGAGATACCAACGCTTTCTTTATCAATTAAATTGGGTTGAAATAAAGCCTCCGGGGCCCCAAATTGTTCTCCGCCGACTTTAATCACGCGTCCGTCAGGAAGCTGTACAATACAAGTGAATAGAACTACGAGAAAACAACTAGGACAATCCACACAGACAAGACTAAAAGTTACGAGAGGCGTGTTGATGGTCCGCATGGGCTGCATCAACCGAAAAGCGAAGGTGAAAAAAAAAACAGTGAACATAAAAGCATTGCACAAATAACAAACGTACCGTGTACTTTTTAACCAATACTGTTGTTTCCAGGGCAAGGTTTTGCTCTTGATTAACGTCGTAAGCTACATAGCAAAGTTTTTCCTTCATTTGACGAATGGTTTCAAAGTCAGCCGTTTGATTGAATGCATACCCACGAAGGAGGAGCAACTATGAATTCCCAAAAGTTCAGATATACGCACAGTGAGAGGATACTCCCGACATATCCAATCTAGTTAGTACTCACCTTTATTAAATAACGAGTGATGTCACGGCCGGCAACGTCTAAACGTCTTGTTATATGTGTTAGGGTGTGCCCAGAGAAAACAGGGCAGATATGAGTTACGCCATCACCAGAATCAACGACGACGCCGGTCATCAAACCTAAAAATATGATTCCCATGTTTATGGGCAAAATGGGAAGCTGACAGAATACCGTGTTAACAGAGATGTGTCAAGATACCTTGAGCATAAAGTGTTAAAGTTGCTTGAATTGCAACGTAGACAGCGTTAAAACCGTAGCGCTCAAACATTAATTCTAACATTTTCGATCGATTCTGTTTCGGATTGTAAGGCGGTTCCGTTAAGAGGATCTTCGCATGTTTCGTGTCGATGTTTAGCTTTGATGGGCCAAACGTATAATCGTAGAGATGCGTCATATCATCCCAGTTTTTAACAATGCCATTTTCCATTGGGTATGAGAGCTCAAGCATAGATCTTAATTCACTAGCCTCATCTCCAATCATTAAGTCTTTCACTTCAACGTTGCCAACTTTAACAGAGGCACGGAGGATTGGACGACCAAGTACAGACGGAAATATACACTCAGGGAAGTTTGACCCAGCAAATCCGCATTTTACAAACTAATCAAAATTATAACGACAAAATACATACCCCAGTCCCGTTATCACAAACAATAACACGGTCGCCGTCTTTATCGACGGACATATTCCAACTGCGAAAAAAAGCTTCCGCTTCCGCGTTCAAACAACCCGCACGAAGCGAGTCAAAGGCTATAAAAAATTAGGAAGCAACATAACCAGTAATAAAAGGTTAAAACCAACTGCTAAGTATCTGTATGTATTATAATATATTAAATCTTAAATTATTACTTGTAGCAGCCTAGTTGTACGCAAGAAATATTCCCATAGAGAAATAAAAACTATTCTCGTGCAGTTACAATCAAGTTGGTAAAATAAGGGATTTTAAAAACATTAATTTCTAAACAATTAGAGCTCCATGAGTTTAGTTTGAGCTTTGTCCGTACTTATTAGTACGTTCTCGTATTGACTTAATGTTGGAAAAATGCTAGTCATTCAATAATTAACTTGATTCAAAGCTGTAGTTAAGCAACACAAAACCAACTATTAATAAAAAATACATTGTGGTGCTAAGCGCACATGATCTAAGCGAAGACAAAAATATCCGCCTAGGCACATGATAAAAAATAAAAGGACAGCCATAATGTAAATTGAACAAGTTTTCGAACGCTTCTTCATGCTAAACAAATAGTGCCAGGTAGCGAATCAAATCCAATGCATCAGCGTCATAAAAACTCTCGCCTAAATCAACTGAGACCAAAATACACCCCATAGTATAAGGCTTTGGTAATAAAATAACATAATTTTTACGGTTGCTTTAGGGTTCGTCTGGCTCTTGTAAGCGTGAGCTGAACTTTGGGCCATGCTGAGGCCTAATTACTTTGGTCTCCTTGCAATACACGTGTTCGGCTTTACTTACTGCCTCTTCTTCCCGGCGCGAAGTCTCGAGACGCTACGCCGGTAGCAGCGGAAAGCGAAACCGACATTTCTAA